ACTATTAAACGAGTTATGCCCTCGAAGCCAAAATTCACAATCATTCTGCACTCATCGGATCGGTACCAGATTCAGCCCCTGGAAGCCCAAAATTCAAAGGATTCAGTTTTAATGGTTCTGGCTAACAATTCATTCGGTTGGAAATCATTATTTCAATCATCTGGGCAAGCAACCATCACTGCCGGGAATTTAACCCGGGTCTCTCATGTCCATGGGGATGCATCCACAACACTTCAACACACTCACGTGTTGCCAGGAGTTTAACCTGGACCTCCCACGTAACACAAGGATACTCGTACTATACTACAGTCACGGTTGTCGGGGATAATAATAGCAAGGCTCCGGTGTTCCACCATCCCTTCTGAAAGACCCGTATTAACCTTCAGCTAATTCCCAGAATGAGCCAGGAATAACCCCTCACAGGTCTCCATAACCCAACCTATGATAATCGTTCAGACATAATCTGAACTAGCCATCCAATACAAGAGTTCATTATTTAAGTCCTTAACCCGAGTTTCATAACCCATCCGATTGTGTAATTTTACAAATACCTATGATTTTTATGTCTTAGTATCCCYGAATTCTATGTGACTGCGTCGAGGAGTGGTGTAATCTTCCGCAAAGGATAACATCCCGACATCAAGCCCCGCTTTAGATCCGGGTCTCACCACATTCCCTCCGRTTYCAGYGTYGCAACTCTGTTAATGCCACGTCTACAGGGCGAGACAACCSCATCCATATAGTCCAAGTTGGTCAGACGAGGATCATAAGGACGCRACGACCCTGCATATCACAAGGATAGACGACCAACCCCACCCCTGTGATAAGCAGCGATCGCTTCCCACCATAGGCGATGTCTCAACAGGATTACGACACCATTCTCCTTTTCGGTGATAGTGTAGCCATCGCCCTTTTTCAAGGAAAATGACATCATCTCGTTGTGGACCAGGAACCAAGTTCCGGCACGAGCCTCACTACCACCTACAAGGCTCACATCTTTCATGAATATCAATTTCCTAACCACTACTTTTCTTAATAATACGAGGAGGACAACCCGTTTTCTTAATAATACGATATGGCCCCATCCATCGATTATCTAATTTTCTCAACCACTACTTTTCAAGAGAAGAGTCATAGAGGAGGACAATATCCCCCACTTCCAACGGTTCTTTCCTAACCCGGGGTTGCTTATCCTATCTAACTTTGTCCGTCCGTTTGCTATCCTCAGTTGACGCAACGGCCTCTACAACTCTTTCCTCAGTAACTTTTATTTGTCTGGCCCTAAGGTCTAAAAATTCTTCTGTAGAAAACCTGACTTTCATATCCTATTTCTGCCATGTGGTCAGGAAACTCTCGATCGGAAATGTAGCATGTCATCCAAACCATAACGTAACAGGAGCATACCCAGTAGTCCGTTTTACGGTTATATTTTCAACAAATATGGCAGCTCTGAGATAGACGGGCCATGTTGACGGCTTGCCAGCACACCATTTTGCTAGCAAGTTAGTCAAGGTGGCGGGACCACATTCAACCGGAACATTTGCCTGGGGGTGTGCTCTAGTAGTATAATTATAGTTCACTCCCTGTCTTTTCATAAGATCCTAAACCTCTTCTGCTCGAAATTCACCGCTCGATCCATCACAAATTTTCGAACAAATGGATACCGAAGGTAAAACTCTTCGATACATTCTGCCAAAATCTTCCCGGTTCGCTCATGGATCGCACGCCCATGAACAAACCCGGTAAGATTATCTCTCGCATCAAAAATGTATCTATRCCCATTAAGCCCGAGTGGCATAACGACCAGGTCGAGGTGCATAACCGCACCTGGCTCAACCACATGCCGCGGATTGATAGACTCGATATAACGGAGATTCGAACGTTTCTAACAGGGAACGCACGAGTTGCAGAACTCTGCCACCATCTTACCCATGCCATCCCAAAAGTAGAGATGCTGGATCTTTCTTAAGGTCACCCGTGAAGATCGATATCTGCCCGCTATTCCATCATGTAGAGCCGCAATCACATTTAATTGTCTGGGAACCCCACATACTACTCTCTTAGGCATACCATCGTYAGACTTTTTGAAAAGATGCCCCTGTCGAATGACAAAATCCTTTGCCTTCTCTCTTATTTCTGGCTCTATCTCTGCCTCGTTCAGGTCCCCATTCAGCCAAAGCCCAATCTTCTTAAAGATCCCATCATATTCCTCCTCACGAAAGGCTTCTTGGATCTCACTGCCTTCCCCTTCTTCCAACAGTAACTTGTCACGATCTTCCTGTATAAACGAATTAACGGGAAATACCATTCCTCCAGAAATCTTGAGGACTTCGTCGCCTTGCTCATGTCCCCCTTCAATCGTAAGGGGTTCTTCCGAAAGTTGTACTGGGTTAGACAATGCCAACCTTATCATTTGTTCCGCGGACCGTTCGCCCCAGGGATCCTCCTCAGTAAAGGGCTCTCTCATCACAAGTTCTGAACGCTTCTGATAACAACTCGGAGAACTCCAGATAGACTTCCCAGGTCGGGACGAAGCATTGCTAATATACTCCCAAACATTGATACTCAACTGCTGCTCGTCTGTTTCCAGAAATCCATCCACAGGAACGGAGTCTTGTGACCGATCTTTCGAGGAGTCCCACTCGATCCGACTCAATCCATCGGCTCGATTTTGCTTCCCCGCAATACGCTCGATCTCGAAATTGAACATCCAGATATAAATCAACCATCGAGCGATAGTTGGATCCGAGGGGGAATAATTCTTCAGTGACTGCGCCAAGGCAGTCGGATCAACCCGCGGGACAAACCGTCTTCCAAACACGTAGTTACGGAAGATCCTGAAGCAATGAAGCACTTCAAGGGTTTCCTTCTTAAATTGGGAATATTTCCTTTCTGCCTCATTCAACGTTCGACTTTCAAATCTCAATGGTCTTTCTCGCCCTTCTCCATCCTTTTTGGATGAGGACACCACCCAATGCTGTGGGGCCTGCATCCGTTTCAACCACAAAGGGCCGACACGGGTCATTGTCAAAGCACGAAACCCACATGATCAATCCTCCTTCTCGGAATTGTGCCTTGATATTGTCCACCGCCGCCTGCTGCTTTGGACCTCGTTCCCATTCTTGATTTTTACGCACCAACTTCCGTAGGTGCCCCACCCTTGCTGCGAACTTGCGAATGAAGATACGCCAGAATCCGCAAGTCCCCAAGAAAGTGCGCACATCAGTGATGGACTTAAGCGGAGTCGGCCATTCTCGAATCTTGTTAGTCTTCTTGGAATCTGGCCGACGACCCTTCTCATCGCACAAGAAGCCCAAGATAGTTGTCTCACACATACAATGCCGAGATTTGACACTGCAAGCGGTGAGGTTGTACTCCTTCAGCTTGGACAGGACCTTTTCCACATCACGAACGTGCTCCCAAACAAACTTTTGCACGCCTGGCGACACCTCTGTTTCGTCCTTTACACGTGGCCTCGGAATGGCCAAGTCATCGATGTAGGGTAAAGTCACATCCGGACAAAGCGGCTGCATGACTCTCATCATATATCTCTGAACAATCGCTACGACGTTCGTCCATCCTTGAGGCGCCACACACATATGAATTAATCCCCTCGGCGTATGCATGGCCGTCATCGGCCTGTCTGCTGTATAGAGAGGGAATTGATCGTATCCTGAGTACAAGTCAATGAGAGTGATGATAGGTTTGCCTGCGCACGACTCCGACAGCTGATCGGCATGTGGAAGTCCTCCGGCATTACGAACCGTCAGTGAGTTCAGCTTCTGCAAGTTCTGCACCCATCGCAATACGCCACTTGGCTTGATGAAACAAAACCAAGGGGGCGCATATGGTCCATACGAGTAATCCGCGACCTTTTGAATTTTACCGGCCAGATATTCGACAACTCTACGATGATCATCCGGATTCGGATAACGCGGGCCTCGTATGTTTCACGGCTCGTGAGGKACCGTATGAATCCTAATCATTCGAATCATGTCAACGTCAAGCCTTCCTCGCTCATCATCATCGAAGGCATAAGCCAAATGGGTTCTCTTCATAACATTGACAAGGAAGTCCACCTCCTTTTCAGTAAGCGATCCTTCCTCTCCAATGATCATATTCTTAATCCTCTCCTCCGTCAACCGACATGGCGCCTTCATACTCTTTTCCTTCCTCATCCTGATCCATTATCTTTCTTCTTTATAATACACTTCTTCTTCTTGCGTGATCAAGACGGACACTGGCCGAGCTTTCTCGCCCACTCTCTTGTACTTCGGTTTCGCACCAACTCCAAGTCGTCCACCTCTAAAAAAGACCCTTGCTTGGCTGCTGGCTCCGTCAATACATCACCTTCCGAAGACCTGTCGGGCCGATAAGTAAGATACATTTTACCAGTCTCGCCTTCTTCTGCCACAATCTCTGTCAGCGTTTGGACCAACTTGGGGTCCACGGACGAGTCTGTCGCAACGAACTCGATCCCTTGAGAGATGTTGGGCAGAGCAAGAGAAAATTTTAGGGGATCGCTCTCTTCTCCGATGGATTCCTTCTCCCTCCTAAGTCTTCCGGATTCCGTGAAGAAGTAGGATCCCGGATTGAGTCGGTTCCTTGAATTGGTTGGTCCTGTGTTCTCACACTTCATCACCTCGTAATAGCCACATACRGGGTCGCACAAAACCACGATCATAGTACCATCATGCTTGTTGAAGATGATGGATTCTGATCGACAGAGAAAAGCTCTGCCCAGCAACACGGCATGCTCAACATTGGGTAGCACATAGAAATATGAACGGACTTTGACTTTGCCAACTTGTATCGTCATGTCACTCGTCATTCCGCAAAAGGGAGTTATCCCACTTGCACCCACCTGAAATCCAGTATCTGCTCGATTGATGTTTACTCCTGGCCCCATGGCTTCTCTTTCACGTATAATGTTCATTTCAGCCCCATCGTCAATGAGCGCCGAGTATTCGCACGGCCCAACTTGCACCTTCAACAACCCAGTTGCTACACAGTGCCAGTCCATTTTTGTCCCAGGCGGAGCTCAACTAATCTCTTGAGGAAAGATATCACTCATCTTAACCGTCATCACTTTTTTTCTTGACAATCGATGTCTGAACTCCTCTCGGATTTTGGGTGACGCGGCCAAGAACTCCTTGAGCGTGAACAAATCGCGCTGGCTTTCCAAAACCCGGTCCACGATTTGCTCAATATCCAGCCCTTGCTCTACTGGAATTATGTAGACTTGCTTCTTCTTTTTCAGCTCTCCTTCCCCAACATTGGCCTTGCCCGTTTCTGGCTCCCTCTCCATGACCCGTTGTTTGCTCTGCCGCTCATCCTCGGCTCACAACAACTCGTCCTCCTCGCTAACGTCTTCTTCAATCGGAATTGTCTCAGTTTCCCGAGGCTGACTTGACCCTTCTTCCGGCGTTGCCCTTGGCCGTGGCGGCTTCCGAGCCCTCCGAGCTTGCGGGAGGCTAGCAGTGGTAGGTCGCTTGAAAGCCGGATGGGAGAAGATCGTGGTGGCCATCAAACGTCCTGCCGACGACGATTCAGGCTGTGATGCGGAACATCAGTAAGACCTCCTTGACCGTCTCTGTCCAATCCTCCAAACAGAAAGACTTGGGGAAGCCCGGGTCATTCTTCATTCATGTCGGCACATACTTGAACGAAAGTTTTACTGCATCGAGTCATTTTTCTGACCACWRTYTGAGCTCGCTGCAGTATCTCTTCCTGCTCTTTGCTCAACCCTTCATCTGCGGCCTTGGCATCTTCAATCATCAATGACTCCATCGCCGCTTCCAACTCGATCTGTTCGACTTCTTCCGGGGAAGCCAGTCGAAAAGTTGCTGGAAGATCTCGCCCCATACGTCGGAAGGCTTCCTTTCTCATTCCTCCCACGTTGGGATCGATGAGATTCCCTTCGAAGTCGTATACCTCGCCTCGGATATTCGTATAAATAACCTTTTCGTTTTCATCTTTAGTAACGGTTTGACAAAACCGTATCGCATGCCCATCTTGTCCGCAGTACTTGCAAAACCAATTCTGCCAATTACCTCGGCCGCTCCCATTTCCTCGGCCTCCCCCAGTGCCTTGTCTTCTACCTCGACCTCGGCCTCGGTCTCCTCCCTGAGGTTGGGGTTGCTAAGGAGGGGCCTGCGCCGCCTGTTTCTGGTTGCTTCCTTGTCCACCTCCTCCATTATTCTTCCGCTGCTTTTTACTAGTGCCCTGCCCTCCTCGTATCTGGTTCAGGGCCTTCCGTTCTGCTTTAGTCAATTTTCGAGGGGGCTTCACTTCCTCCTCGTCTTCCTCTTCACTGTTGTTATTACTTACCTCCTCCACAACGGGTGCTTTCCCCTTCCTTTTTCCTACTTTCGTTTGGACCATCATTACTTGTAGCTTTAACCTTTCCTCCTTCATATCAGCCATCATGTTCTGCATGTCAGTTAGGGTTTTGTAAACGGCCTGATCCTTTTCCACTCTTACCCCTTCCTTCTCGCGGTCCTCCTTTTGCTGCTTCTGGAGACGGTAAAGCATCTAGTCGAAGCTGCCAGCCAACAAATTCTCCTTGATCTCTGGTCAGTCGTATCGACCAGTCATATCCTTCATCAGTTCCCGCTGCTCAACTTCTGAAAAGTTTTTGAGGAAGATGAGGCACCGATCCTTATGAGGAAGGTCAGGCACTAAGCGCGCGACTCGTTCAAATTCTGTGAGAAACTGCTTGGTCGTACCAAACTTCCGACGACTAACTTTTCGTAAGTCCGCCAGGTTGAGCAGTTGATCCCCCAATTGGTACTTGTCCAATAACTTTGCTTTGAAGTCCAGCCAGTCGTGCGAGGCTTGCACCAACTTCGACACTTCTTCTTTGTACTCGACCATACAATATCGCTTCACCATTTCAAGCATTTTTTCACTCGTCCATTCACAACAACTGCCCAATTGCTCAAACTTGGCCGCCCATGCTGAGGCATTGGTGCCATCGAAGAGGGGAACTTGTACTTTTGGCAGTTGCGCCTTCTGATTGTCGGCTTCCCGAATGGCTCGTGCGAGTTCCAAGATGTCGTTGCGACGATCCCCTGCATTACTATTTGCGGGATCAGCACTTCCTCCCGTCATCTTGAGAGAATCAACACCACAAACCCACACGTCCAAGTGTCAAATAGATTTCAACAATTCACTCCAAACCGTGCCTTCTTTTCTTTCTCCAAACATCGATAACCACTGACTACTTTCAATCCAAACAAACAACACACAACACTTAAAATCGCTATAACCATCCTTTTCCCGAGCGTCGTTCCACTAGGGACAGCGGTAGTTTGCCGTCATCCTGGGCAACCGCGCCACCTGTCGAGCGCATCGGCCCTCGCGTGAACGAGGGCCCTCCCGGCTATGTCACACATGAGTTAGAACAAAACAAAATATAGAGACAACTTAGGACGATGCATAAATAATCCCGCGAACCGCCGTCGTACCGCCAAGAAAATCGATGTTGTCGCTGCCAGAATTCGGCAGCGCTTCCGCTGTACCGCCAAGAATACCAGTGCTGTCGCCGCACAATTTCGGAAGCGCTCTCGCTGTTCCGCCAAGAAAACAGGTGCTGCTGCCGCAAAAATTCGGCAGCGCTTCCCTAGAAAACCAGCAGCAACCTTAAGGCCACGGCTTCCCCACAGTCTGCAGCACAACACAGAAGGTGGGGCAAGAAGCTCCCAGCCTCTAGCTATGACTGCCTCCTCCTTCCTCCAAGTGCTACTGCATACCTCCAGCACTTCGCCTCATTACACCAGCAGCCAGCCAGCCAGCATCTACTCAAGTAGAATGCCCCAGCAGCATTGCCACAAGTGTGAGGCTGC